CATGCCATTTGCAACAACATGGATGGAACCAGAGTATATTATGCTAAGTGAAATAAGCCAAGGAAGAGAAAGACAAATATCATATGATTTTGCTCATATATGGAATTCGAGAAACAAGACATATGAACATAGGAGAAGGGAAGAAAAAATAAAATAAGATAAAAACAGAGAGGGAGGCAAACCATAAGAGACTCTTAAGTATAGAGAACAAACTGAGAGTTGACGGAGGGAAGTGCATGGGAAATGGGCTAAATGGTTGATGGGCATTAAGAAGGGCACGTGTTGGGATGAATGCTGGGTGAATGACTAAATTCTACTCCTGAAACCAATACTAACTATATTATGTTATTTTTTTAATTTTTAAAAATATTTATTTTTTTAAAAAACCTTAAAAAAATATTTTATTTATTTCTGAGAGAGAAACAGCATGAACAAAGGAAGGTCAGAGAGAGGGAGACACAGAATCTGAAGCAGGCTCCAGACTCTGAGCTGTCAGCACAGAACCTGACATGGGGTTCAAACTCAAACTGTGAGTTCATGACCTGAGCCGAAGTCGACACTTAACTGACAAAGCCACCCAGGTGCCCCTACACTATGTTAACTAACATGGATTTAAACTTAAAAATAAAATAAAATTTAAAAAAATTAAATAGAATACAATGGAAGCCTCTGCTGGCTCTTGAAAAGTCAGGACTATTTAGAATATTTTCAAGGGGCTCTTTAAATTTGTTTTTAATGTTTACTTATTTTTGAGAGACAGAGAGAGAAAGAGAGAGATAATGAGTTGGAGAGGAGGGGTAGAGAGAGAGGGAGACACAGAATCTGAAGCAGGGTCCAGGCTCTGAGCTGTCAGCACAGAGCCTGACACAGGGCTCAAACCCATGAGTTGTGAGATCATGACCTGAGCCAAAGTCGGACACTTTTAACCAACTGAGCCACCCAGGTACCCCTCATAGGGCTTTTTAAAATAGAGGTCTGATCTGATTTAAAATGACTCTGGCAGGGTGCCTGGCTGGCCCAGTTGGTAGAGCATGTGACTCTTGATCTTGGGGTTGTTAGTTTTAGTCCCATATTGAGCACAGAAATTACTTTCAACAAATGACTCTGGCAAATGTACATAGATAGAAACAGATTAGTGGGTGTCAGGGGCTGGAGGTGGGGAGGAGTAGGGAATGACTGTTTGATGGGTACGCCATCTCCTTTTGGAGAGATGACAATGTTCTGAAACTAGACTGTATCCGTGGCTGTACAACTCTGTGAATGTACTGTTTCCCTGAACTGTGCACTTTAAAATAGCTAAAATGGTAACTTTTACATTCTGTATATTTTACCACAATAAAAAAAGAAAATGTTCCCCAAAGGAAAAATGACTTCTTAGAATATATTAACAAATACACTAACAAGTTGAGAATTTATCTTTGGAATGCAATTTGTCTCTAATTTAAAACTGTAGGGGAATTCTTTGTTATAGATGAATCCTAGCTAAACACACACACATACACACACACACACACACACACACACTGGAAAAATTATCATTTTTCAACCATTCAGGTAAAGATCATCAATTAGTGCTAAAACTGTTGGATCGATGATTTGGGAAACAGGATATTTACAAGGTCTCATAATCTAAGCCACAGATTTTTTATTAATTACCTAAGAAAAACAGAATTTCAGCAATGGAGACTTATGGCAGATAATCTCTTTTTTATTAAAATGTTTATTTATATTTGAGAAAAAGAGACAGAGCACAAGTGGGGAAGGGTCAGGGAGAGAATGAGACAGAATCTGAAGCAGGCTCAAGGCTGTGAGCTGTCAGCACAGAGCCTGACATTGGGCTTGAACCCCTTGAGCTGTGAGAATATGACCTGAGCCAAAGTCGGACACATAACCTATTGAGCCACCCAGGCACCCTATGGCAGATATCTCCTTAATAACTGATTACCTTAGCACCATCAATAATGATATAAATTGGTATTACAAGTATCCAGCCAAAATATGATACACTGGGACATATACAACATCATGTATATAATGTTCTTCCACAAAACACAGACCTGGAATCTTATCTTTAAAAAAAAAAAAAAAAAAATCACACCAGGCACCCGAGTGGCTCAATTGAGCATCTGACTCTTGGTTTCAGCTCAGGTCATTATCCCATGGTCATGATCCCAGGGTCATGGGATTGAGTACCACATCAGGCTCTGTGCTGAGCATGGAGCCTGCTCAAGATTCTCTCTCTGAAAAAAAATACCAAAAACAAAAAAAATCATACAAAACCAGACTGAGGAATATTTTACGTGACAACTATCCTGGATTCTTCAAAACTGTTAATGTACTGAAGTACATCATAAAATTTGAAGTGAACAAATTTTAAAAACGGAACTGTTCTTTATAAAAG